TACTATACAAATCAAACAGAGCCCAGCCACTATAATTCACTTTATTGTCATTCATTTTGGGCGTGCACTTTGATATTCCCGAGCCAATGCCTCTTCCTCGGCTTTCTTCCTCCCTTCTTCGGTCTAACTTCCTTAAGCCGACGCTCTTCGCACCTTTCGTCTGCAAACATACCTTGCCGGATCTTCGTTATGACTATAATGCCCTTGAGCCAACTATATCTGCCTCGATAATGCAATTGCACCACCAAAAGCATCACTCGGCCTATGTAAATAATCTAAACATCGCGGAAGAGCAAATGGCTGAAGCTATGGCAAAAGGAGACCTATCCAGGGCTATTTCACTTCAAGTACCTGTTCTTTAATTGGTAAACAAGATGTAGCCCTCGATTCGGTTCAATGCCGGTGGCCACATAAACCACACGATATTTTGGCACAATCTGAGTCCTAAAGGTGGCGGAGAGCCATCTGGTTCTCTTCTTTCTGCAATTAACTCTCAGTTCGGGTCATTTAATGAATTTAAGAACAAATTTTCAGCAGTGACCATTGCCATACAGGGCTCTGGCTGGGGCTGGCTTGGGTACGATAAAATGCTAAGGCAGTTGCGCATTGCAGCTTGTCCTAACCAGGACCCTCTTGAGGCAACTACAGGTGCGTGAAAATGTCATTTTTTGATAATTGAAATATTAAATTAATCTAATTAGGCTTGGTGCCGTTGCTTGGCATTGATGTGTGGGAGCACGCCTATTATCTACAGTACAAAAATGCCAGGCCCGACTACGTCAAAGAAATATGGAAGATCGTCAACTGGGATGATGTGTTGAAACGCTATATGGATGCATCTGGCTAGATTAGCGGAATTTACAGTTTCAATGTAAATCAATACCTTAGTATTTTATACATATTATATTTACAAAACATTTCATGTATTTTGAGAAATGTGGCCGTTAAAAAGTTTGGTATAATTTGTCAATCGTTTCCTCGAGCTGTTAGTTTGTAGACTCCAGAGTCGGAAGTTATTTGTCCCTGTCTGACTCTCCGTTCAAGAAACTCTCTCAGTTCATCTTTAGAGCAACCGAGAGGTGAATTGGCGGAACCCTGCATAAACATGCGCAGCATCATATAAATCCTTTCAATGGAGAGACATCCCAGGTTCGTCAGCATCGCGACAATATAGGGCCATGCCATCTGTAAAAGATAATAGGGTAGGTGGATGAGCCCCAATAAGATTTGATGCTTAAGAATATATATACGAGTCTCACCTGCAGCTCCTTTTCTCGCTTTTCTCTGGCAGTGGTCTGGGCATCGGCTTCTTTTATTCTATCCATGCCATCGTCCTCTTCATCATATTCGCTGTCGCTTTTTCCATCTGGAACGTTTCCTCCACCCATAATGGACGTTTCTGATAAAAAACACCTATTTTTGTTAGATATGATGCCATCCTCCATCGTTCCAAGTTCGCTGGCTGATGGTGGTTCTGCTAATTCAAAAATGATTTCTTGGTTGTCAAAGGCTCCCTGACATCCTTGCTTTTCTTTGTTACTCTCGGATGCTTGATCTGAGTGCTCACGAATGAATCCTAACTGAATGAACAATTGAAGGCTTCGGCGGACAGCAGATGTCTGTGTTTCGACTTGCTATACGACAAATGAGAAAAATAGCGAGAAGAGGATCAAAGATTAGTCCTGACCGATTACTGTCCACCTAAACCTATACGATTTTGGCAAAATAACGCCCTATGGAATGCATATTTTTAATAATCGCGGGCATGGAATACTTAATGGGGACAGCCAATAGACACGTGTTTTTTGCGCAACTCTGTTTCTGGGAAAGAGGGCTAATTATTGACTACAAGTGACGGTATGACGGTATGAAGCTTAATGGGTGGGTGACTGTTATACTGGATATAAAGGCAGACATTTAAGCATTGTACGGATACGCTTATTTCTTGTCCGGTGCGCTGGTATTTTTAATAAAAGTATC